TCTGTGTGTTTTATTCAACGCGCCTCCTTCTACAAGTTGTTACCTTTAAAACTCTTGTAGATCTGTTTGAGATCAAGAAGTGGTATCATAACAGTGTTTTATTATCTATTTGTTAAAGATAATCTACCAACCATTTTCTCTAAATGTCTTTGCAAAACACAAAAAACAAACTATCACGATAATAGCTCTCTTGCCAAACCTCCCACATTTAGCAGGGATAAGTTCCGTCTCTGGAAAAATAAATGTCCCTATATCTAGAAGGCGTGTTCCTCAGATCCCTTATTATGTTGAAAATGGACGATATGTTCCATTTGCAATATCTCCAGCAGTTCCTACCACTGCTACTACTGCTGCCATACCTGAAAGACAGATTCCAAAACTCTCTCACCAACGGTGCAATAAAGACAAGAAGAAAATGGCTCTTGATACTAAAGCTAGATCTATCATAGCCATGTCTCTTTCTAGTGAGGTATATCATTCTGTAACGAAGCTTAAAACCTCTAAAATCCATGTGGAAACATTGTGTGCTCAATATAAAGGTACCACTGAGGTACAATAAACAAGAAAGACAAACTTGGTGCGACAATATGAAAGTTTCATTTGTGGCAAAACTGAATCTTTGTCTGAAGTATACCCGCATTTTAAATGCCTACTAATAGACCTCAGGATCGTTGAAAGAGAATATTCCAACTCTGAGACACTGACATAATTCCCAGAATATTTGCCAGAATCATGGGATAGTTACACTATGTGCCTCAAAATGTGAAAAGACATGTCCAATCTCTCCCTCTCTCTCTCTCTCAGTACTCTATATGGGATTTTGCTCAATCATGAACAATCTCGCCAACTAAAGAAGAATCTCATAAGAGATTCAAAGGAATCAAAAAGCTCTCTTGTAGCTTTACTCTCTGAAACTCCTTCAGTGACAACTCCTACTCTCACGATCACTGAGTTAGACCCATCTAACTCTAAGGACTTAACAAACGTTGATCTTTCGAAGTTTGATGAGTCACTGGCTCTTCTTACAAATTCCTTTAGAAGATTTTCCAAGAAAATAACTTTCAAAGACCTCCTACACTAACTATTGCTGACAAGCCAAAATCAACCCCCATTGATAAGGCTTCAGCGATCTGCTTTAACTCTGAACACAAAGGACACTTTGCAAGTGAGTGCATGTCTAAGAAAGCCGTGAAGCCATCTTCCACCTCATCCTCCTTCAAATCAAAAGACGATAAATATCTAAAGCTGAAGGAGAATTATAAAAAGATGAAGAACTACCATCGTAAAGGCAAGGGTCTTATCGCTGAAGAACATGATTGGGTTGATTCATCTGACAAATCCTCCTTAGATGATGACGACACGACTTACCTCTGTCTTATGACCAACATCAAGGAAGTTAAAGACGCATGATCTGAGTCTTCATATTCAAATGATTCTTCAACCTCAACTCAGGCACTAAATCTGAATGATCTGTCTATCTCTGGAACCGAGTCTTTCTGCATTAGATACGCTGATTGTGTACCTTTACAATGCACTAAATGGAAAATCGAAAGCTGAAAAAATAAATGTTGATCTTCAAAAACAACTTGAAAAATGTCATTCAAAAATCAAGAACTTACTAAGATTGAAAAAAATCATAAAGATCAAGTCATTTTAAGCCAAGCAATTAGTATTGAACACGAGCAAGTTATCATTGAGCATGAACAAGCTATAATTGAACTCAAAGCTAAAAAGAATACCATTGAAGGATGGGGTAAAGCCTCGATTAAAGCAAATGAGATCATAAATGCTTAGATACCTACAAAGGTTAAGAGTGGTCTTGGATATTCTTCAGACCATGAAGAACATGTCAGTGACAAATCCATGTTAAAATTTGGAACTTTTATCTCCTTTATCTCTGACACTTCTTCCATTCAGTATTCCTCCATATCTGAGTCTAAACCTATTCTTGAGAAAACTCCTAAGAGCTTAAAATTCTTAGACAAGGGTAAATCTATTGCTAGCATTCCTCAAAAGACCAATAAAAACCAAAAGTAGAAGAAGGTTTCCTCTAAGCCCTCAGCATGCCAACCTTCACCTTCTGATAAAAAGATCTCTGGATTTATTCGAAGATCAACCCCAAAGCTGCAAGTTGATCTTACTTTTAAGGAACCAGTTGTTCCTCCCAGGACTTCTGAAAAAGGTATTTTTGGACCAGGTCTTTCTCACCTTAAGATTTCTAACTCTCATGCTTCTAGCCCTAAAACTTCCTTCAACTATAAGAAATGCTATCACTATGGTGAAACAAATCACATTGCTAGCAAGTGCCCAGTTGCTACCAAAGCTGAGAAATCAGCTAGGGTAAAGAAAATCACTAAAGCTGAAAAACCAGCAAAGGTGAAAACCACAAAAGTTGGCAAACCAAGAAAAGTGAACAAAACCACTAAAGTTGAGTCATCAGACTCAGTGAAGAAAGTCGAAACCTCCACACCAACTAACTTAGTTTGACCCATTACAAAATAGATAGGAAAGCAAAATTAATTTCCTTTATATTGCAGGGAGTCAGAGCATCTGGTATCTTGATAATGGATGCTCAAGACACATGGCTTGTACTAAGTCTCTGTTATCTGAGTACAAGGAAATAAAAGGTCCCCCAATGATCTTTGGTGGAGATGGAAAAAGATACACCAAAGGCTTTGGTGTGTTAACCATTGGAGTAACCACATTCAAACGAGTTCGTGATATGAAGTGGATTCAGTGATAACAGAATGTCTAAATCAAATGTGAATCTGACCAAGACTCAGCAAACGCTGAAGAACCTTTCGAGATAAATCAGTGTCAGCGATCAAATGAATCTTTCTCTACAAGATTAGTTTTTATCTTATCCTCTATGCACAGAAGGACAACCCCATACCTCTCACAAAAAGGTACCTGTAAGGAGTTGCTTTATTGTCTCCAAACATGCTTACCAACTTTGTAAAAGTCAACTGTTCATATACGGCTAAAAGCATGCACGTCTGAAGATAGACCGATTGTTATACTAAAATCACCAATATATGGGGGGTGTTTCACAGGTAGGCTAGGTTTTTTCTTTCTTTTCTTAATTGATCTAATAACTTGTACATATATTCTTTGAGGACTTGTACACTAATTCTTTTAATTAAAAAGATAAAAACGGACTAAAAGGTCTCTCACTTAATAACACCAACTAACTCTACTAACGACCATGGACCAAAACTGTAAAAAAAATAAACATTTAGAACGTTCGTAATTTCGAAATATCAGGGCGGATCCAGTATGCCCTTGGGAATTTCTTTCATCTTTTAGAAAATCCAAAAGCAATCATCACTGTTTGTATTCAAAATAGTTTGTGTTCACCATTGATATTTATATCATTATAACTGATTTATTGAGTGTAAGCATAAGCTTTACCGGCAAAAAAAAGCTAGACATTGGAGCTTCTCCCCATATGTAGTCGATTAGAGTCTCCTCAAGGTCAGCCACTTAGGATTTTCAATCTTGAGGGTCCATTAAAGAGTAGTCGAGATGTGCAGAACCTTACCCGGGCACCCATGGTAACAAAAAAAAAAAAAAGAGTTTTATATTAAACATTGTACAATGACTTTTTTCTACCCTACAGAACCCCACTACAAAACATAAGGTTTTTACCGACGGAAAAATCCGTCGGAAAAGTCATCATCGACGGATCTCACGGTCAGAGAAAACGTTGCCGCTGATCGTGATTACGAGCGGATTGACTGAAAGATTTTCACCTCAAATCCGTCTTAAATTTCTGCAGAAAACTCCATCGGTAAACCCCTTTGTTTTGTAGTGACAATACTGGATGATTGTGTCTTGACGTGGGCTTTTTTCCATTCTAGATACATTAATGCTTTCTTTTTCCAACTCAAACTCTTTCTTTTCCGTATTACGTTTTTTAAGTTGAAACATCGTCGAAAAATCAAAAGATGTATGCAAAAAAGAGCATTTCCCAAGGTTGCATTAAATGATTCTTTAACAAAATTCAGTTATGAATTTATGTATTTTTGTGTGAATATTTAGTTTAGAATATGATCTCCCTACTTTCTCCTTGTTGCATCAACCACCATTATCCTCCATCATCTTCTTTCATTTCTTGGTATATTTAATCAAGTGGTGCTTCAAGTGGGGAACATAGAAGCATGGTGATGCTCAAATCCAACTTATAAATCAAATCACTCTTTTAAAATCATTGCGATCATACTCGCTCTAAGTTTACCGATTATCAAAACCGTTATCATCACCCAATTCTAAGACAACAAACCAAACGCTACCTAAATCTAATTCATAACGAATACGTTATCTTAACCCCATATTTTACAAAAATACATCGTACACACTTCACATAGATGTTTATCATCTTTAAAAGTAACATTTTCGGGAGGAAAAAAAAACAAGCCAAAAGCAGAGATGGCCTTAGAAATTTTTTAAACAAAAAATAATTAGAATTCATATAAACCGATGGCACGTTGTGACACTTAAACGGTGGCACTAATTAAATCGACCTCCTAACCATCATCTACATCTGTATGGATTCTTGGTTTTGAATATTTCTTGAACCAAAACGTTAATCGTTTTGATCTAATCTCAAGGTCGATGGTACGATTTTATATTTCTAATTTGTTAATCATATTTTCTTCGATTCCAACAAAATAAGTAAAATATTTAAGGAACAAAATGAAGTTAATACATAATGAAATCGTTACATATTTTGGGATATCCATTTTAAACGTAAGGCTGAACAAAAGGAAGTATGACCTCTTCCCTCCACCAATATTTTGGCACGTTTTCCTTCTCCCCTTTCACTCTCTCTCTCTCTCTCCTCCATTGCAGGTTTCATCATCTTTCTTTTTCTTCATCTTTCTAAAACTGGATTGTATGAGATAAAATGCAAACTGATTTCTGTTTTTAGAAAGCAAATACCTTTTATTCTTAGATCTTTCTTGAAATAGAAAGAGGACAATCCATGTATATAATTAGAAATGGGTCGGAATAAGCTTCCAATGAAAAGAATCGAGAACAACACAAGCAGATTGGTCACATTTTGCAAACGTAGAAATGGACTCATCAAGAAGGCTTACGAGCTCTCCGTTTTATGTGATATCGACATTGCTCTCATCATGTTTTCTCCCTCCGGTCGCCTCAACCATTTTTCCTGCAAACGGAGGTCTCAAACCCTAACCCCAATCGCATTCTTATTTGTCGTTCTATTCAAATGATGTGTAGGCATTATAACATTGGGGATTCGTCATCGAAACATTGTTCTACCATTTGGGGTAGATAACATGCATGCAATGCCAGATCCAAGATTTCTTTCTAGTGGGCACCTTTAAGTTAGATTAAAGATCCGTAAAATCATCTTATATGTTTTTAGCCTAATTTCACCATTTTCAGGGATTTTTAAAGTTTTCTTGGTTGATTTAAAGGGATTTTTAAGTTTTTTCAGGTTTTTTTTATTGATTTTTGGAGTTTTTTTGGTTTACTTCAAGTTTTTTTTGGTTTGATGGGTCCCACATGAGAATTTAATGGGAGAACTATGGTAGAAATTTCAAAAGAATTTGTTTTAAAGCTAAGAAATTTTTTTTTTTTATTTTCTAATGGGGCCATGTATATGCATATGTTTCCGAGATATATTGGATTCATTTGGTTTGGTTATATAGATGTTATAAAGAACACATATTTATGCACCATTTCGAGTGTGGTTTTCAGGATCTTCAAAAAGAATGAATATGTGACATCGAGTTTTGTTTTATAGAACCGAGGATGTACTCAACCGATACGTAAATCTCTCCGACTCCGAAAGAGGAAGGTACTTAATATATACCATCTCTCTCTCTCTAGATTTCTCTCTCTTTCTAAACTCTTTTTCCATGATGCATGAAAATTCTTTCTTTTTTTGGTTTGCAGTGTGATTCAACATAGAGAGGTATGTTTTTGAGTCATCCATGCAATTTCTTATTACCATTTTCTATTGAATTTATTTAAGTATGTATTACTTAATTAAAACAATTTCTTATCATCAGTCTTTTGATTTTTTTATTATCTGGTGGTTGAAAAAAACGCAGTGTCATTTTTTTTTTGTAAGTAAGTAACACAATAGTGACAAGACATTCCTACACCTTTATGTTCACCTACTCTCAATCAGGAGCAGACCGAGTGTTTAAGATACTGTGGCATAGACCACCACTTCGTTCCTCCATTCTAAAAAAAAAAAAAAAAATAGGGTCGTGAGAGATGTCACTGTATTATAACATTGGGTGCTGCCATATATATTTTGAAACTATATTAATAACCTAAGTTTGTCTTGATAGAGTACGTTTGGACGACTTTGTTCCCATCCTAGGCTTGGTTTCAAATCTCGTTTCAATCAATTTCTTAGTTTTTAGCTTGTAACTTCATATTTATTATGTTTTTAAAAACATTGCAATAAGAGACTCCAACATTGGACGTTGGACCTCAAATACGAAAAGTAAGAAACTAATCAACACACCAATAATGATTTTTTCAAAAATATCCATAGCTTCATTTTCTTACCAAAACGCACGTGATCAGTGTTATTTTTTTTTTTTACCAAAACGCACATGATCAACGTTATCGAATTAAAAGAGATTGACACTCTGAGAGATCGACAGACACTCTCTCTCTCTCTCTCTCTCTATATATATATATATATATATATTGTGTACATATATATGACTTTAACATGTGGATTGTTTTGAATTTGATGAAATTTTGCAGTATTTAAACAGCCTTCTAAGCAAGATCAGGAGTGAAAATGATTTAGCCATCCATATTCCTTGGTTTTTCCCTCTTTCTATCTCTTTTTTCATTATATTTATTTTATACAGAAAAACGTTCATATATCTAAACATCTGTATATTTAAACGATCGCTAACTTTAGTGTCTTGTAACAGTCCCGGAGCGATCGATATGCAATCCGAGGTACCAACATTATATTTCTATTTATATTCATAAGCAACTCAAAATCAAAATTATGAAATAGAGAAACTCCTTATAGTTGTTCTTCTAACTCTTTGTGTTTTAGGAAATCCATCAAGAAATTAGCACCTTACAACATCAACTACATATGGCCAAGGAACAATTAAGGTTGCAAATATATGTTCCTTGCCTTAATCGATAAAAAAATGTATGTGAAATCTTTATCCGAAAAACATAATACATAAGTAGACTGATCGTTCGACAATGACTTGTGTTTATTAGGATAAAGATTCCACACGTATAGTTCATCGTGTTACTCACTCTTCTTCGGTTTATGATTCAATTGAAGGATATTTGAGCCGGATCCAACAACCTTCACATCACTTTACGATTATGAATCGTACGAGAAATTAATTTATAAAACGTTAGATCGTGTTACACAACGCAAGGTAATTTCAAATTATCTTATTAATTGTGCGTTTAGTTTCATTAACTGTATTTCATAAGAAAATATATAACACTTACGAGTCTTGTATGTTTTTCGTTCGATTATTACAGGAATATTTGTTAAGTAACCAACCACCAGCATACCATCTAAGAGTATTACAGGTAAAAATCAAATTATAGATCACATATATATGATGCTAATAGGTAAAAAAAAAGTGTTATATAACGAAAATGCAAAAAAACAACGTATCCACCATAATAAAATTGGGTTTGTAGGATTTCTAAAATGTTTAAGTGTACTAATAAAATGTTTTATAGGACTTAAATTTATAGGACCAAACAATAAACATCATATCTAAAAGTGTTACCATAGACGCTACTAGATTTAATTATATAGGATGTTTTTTGGTGTTTTAGTAACTTTTTAAAACATTTTTAAAATAAACTGTTATATTAATTATTTTACAAGACACCATTTGAAAAATGTGCTATAAACACACATGCGCTATAAAAATATGAGTTCATAGGATATTTCTTAAAATTATCCTATAAATTAACTAATACAACACTTTATTTTTAAAATATTACAAAAAAACTTGTTAAAACGCCTAAAAAGTGTTTATAAACCTATTGCAACACTTTTAAACATATGTTTTATTGTTTAGCTCATAAACTTAAGTCATATTCTATTAGCATGTTTGGATATTTTAGGTGTCCTATAATCCAAGTTTGTTGTAGTGATCTAAAACTGTTCATTTTCACGAAATAAGATGTTATTTTATGTATCTTCGTAAAACCAATCGTATATATGACTAATATTCGAGATGTGGCAGGGAGAAAGTTCATCAAAGAATGAGGATATCAATTGTTGGCCGGAAAATGTTTGTGACGGTGCTAATCAAATGAACGGACAAAACCACCAAAACATGTTCACCACAGCTTCACCCGAAAACACCTTTGAAGCCACGAGGTTCGATCATCGTACTATGCAGCATAATAAGTTTCCACAAACCATCTTCAACAACAATAATAAGTTTCCACAATAATGTTGTATTTTTCAGGAACCAATTGACAAATGCAATATTTGACCCATTGCCAAAATCAACCATGAATGAGGAACCACAAAGCATTGAAGGGTTTCAGGGTTGTAACCAAACTGAAGAGAGCCTTCAACTATGGCATCAGTCAACTGATGAGTTCTTATCTTCTCTTATGACTCATGATGTCACTTTCTCAGTGACCAAGGTTTTTGATTTCTAAATCCTATTGCTTTCATTCCCATTTTGCTTTATGGCATGATTGTTAACTTATCTTAGGTGATTTTCACTAGAAAACCTGCGCAGTCGTGATCCTCATGACCGATGCAATTTCTATTATGTTTAGTCAGCTTGTTTTACATCAAAAGCCGTAAAGGATAACTAGAGATGTAGCTCGTTTGCCTCTAGAATTACAAAAGATACTAAAGCATGCGTTATTTTCTTTTCTAGAAACGGTTGATTAGTGAGTTCCTAAGATGGGTTGGAAGCGTTTTAGCATCGATCAACTTACACAAGCTTGAATATTATATTAATCGTATTTCACTACAACAAAACTCGTTTTTTAGGACAATTTCATATGACATTTGTTCAATATGTTTCCTAAAAAAGCTAATTGTACGTACGAGTTACGAATTGGATGGTAATATCATGTACTTTTAATTGATGAAATAGGTTTTTGTTTCAAAAGTATATAGAGCTTGTTAGGTTGACTAAGATGGTTTTGCTAACTTATTGTAATATCATTATATAAAACGCCCATGTCTTGGTCTTAATATCATGAGATAACATGGCTTGATATTAGGGGGCTGTTTACTTAAATGTTTATCCGGTAAATGCTTACCGTTAGAAGTCAGCACTATAATTTATTTTATAGTAGATTGTAGTATATCAAAATGGTATCGTGTGCAACAATATATATGATAAGCGTTTACCCGGGTAAAAGTCGTCACCCTCACTTACTGAGTAAGACTCTCAATAAGGTTGTACACAATACGTTGTTGTTTACATTTGATTCATTATTGCAATTCATATATGATTTTGAATAGTTATTATGGAAAATTTATGTGAATCAACCAACCCTTTGCAGCAAAATGAAATGGGGAATCCAAGTGGAGGAATGGAAATGGTGCCCAATCAACAAGTAGATGCCTCCTTATTGTGTCATCAAGCAAGAAGTTTGTGACCAATGAAATTCGTGGAGTTATGGTTTTCATTATGTGTAAAGTCATTTATTTGTAATAAAATAAGTTTTAATTGAAATTTTTACGTCTCATTTGACAATGGCTTTGTTTTTACGTTCTCATTTTCGAAAAAAGATTAACGTCAATATTTTTACAAGACATTATTTGAAAACTATCTTATAAACACAAATATCTTATAAAAAGATGAGTTATAAGACATTTCTTAAAAGTATTGTAGCTAATACGACATTTTATTTTTAAAAAAAGTCTTAATTTTTTTTGTTAAAACGTCTAAAAGTATCGTATAAATTTATTGTAAAACTTTTAAATACTACACTTTATTATTAATAAAGTAACTTAAGTTGTTTAAAACATTATAGAAATAATGATAATAAGGCTTACATTGAAATGAGAAACGCACAATATAACCCTACATGAAGTAATTATGAATGAAGAATAATAGGAAGAATGGAAAGGAAATTATAGAACTTACACTTTTTCTTTATTCTTACGTTATAATTCCCTTTTTAGTAGTGATATAAATGAATTGTATTTTGCTTCGATTTACATTTTGAATAACATGCTTTTAAAGTTCGTGTTTAAGGGCTAAATGCTAATACATAAGTTTGAGCACAAATAAGGTATCCAGTTACGGTTAATCAGATAAACATGACATGGCCATGATTAGAGGTGTTCATGAGTTAGGTTGATCAGGTTGAAATCATTTGAACAACTCAACCAAATGCTTGCAGTTTGAAAAATCTCAACTCAATCAAATTCAAACCAAAGTGCAACCCAACCCAACCCAAACCGTACGAGTTATTCGGGTTGATATTATGTTCGTTACTTTAATTATTAGCTAAGCACCCCTTAAGTGTGGGTGTGAGTCAAACTTAAGGTTAATAGGCAACACTTGGGTGTTGTCATTGTCGCTAATTTTTAAGTTTGATCATTTGAGTCAGGACATAAACTCTATGCGAATAAGCCGATTACTTCGAAGTGTTAATATTATATCTTAGATCCAGAGATAGTCGGATCCAGAATATGGCTTAAGTGATGCACAAAGATTTGAGAAACTCTTTGATAATCACGTAGAAATACAAGTTTTGTATGATTTGCTTTGGTTCAAATTTTGGTCAAGCTTTATATCACAAAGAGATTTGGACATAAATCTTCATACTAATCGAACTTGATATTTTATGAACTTAGATAAATTGGCCAGATTAAGAATCAGTAACAATGTGCATTTTGTAGGCATTTTGTGAGCACGATCTATAAATATTCACTTTCGAGAGATTAAGGTTTTTACAAACGTTTTTGTGATACACAAAGTATCTGATTATTTTGTTACTACATATGTCTTTAAAAAAATTACACCATGCACATTTTTAGTTTCTTGTTTTTATTTCATTGTGAAAATTATCAAATTCGCTCAAATATGTTTTCTTCTTCTCTAATTGAAATTGGTGTATTCTCGACTTAGTACTCGAAACTTTGAAGTCCGATCCATGTGGATACAATCTCGGTAGTTTTAACACTTTATTACTTGAAAGAGAATTCAATATTTGGTGTATACTTGCATCATTATTGTGCCACATTTACGTGTGTATATTTTTGCTATCAAATATCTTGGGAAAACTTGGTTCTATCTAGCTATTGGAGCTCGGACACCACACTTGTGGAATATTTAAGCCACCGATTCCGCATATGTCCAGATAATGTTCAGGCGATTTAATATGGACAAGCGCATCTGGCTAGCACTCCCATGATCGGTCAAAGTGTTGGATATAAGAAAAAATCTATTTCGTCTAAAGGATGATGACGAAGAGGTGTTGGGAATTGGAAATCCCTATCTAAGTACAATAGACACATTATTGTACTTTGTACAATACACTTCACCGTATATTGTATTTCTCAATGAACTTGGTAGCTAGATTTAGCTCAGCGCCAATGCAATGTCATTGGTATCAAATTAATCTTTTGGAACCATTGAAGTGAGCTTATATTTCCCTTACAAAGAGAAAATGAGATTGATAATGGAACTTCAATTTCTACTTTGAATGTGAGCGACCAAGTACCCACCTTTATAGAAAAAAATCAAATAATGTCTTGGTATGTTTTTGTTGTTCTTAACTATCACCCTGAATCATAAAAAAGGTCATTCCCAAATTGGATAAAGATTCACCATAGGGAACATGCCTTTTGCTTGGGAAGAAACTAGGCAAACTCTTGTAGCTATCTCTTTGAATTATTCCAAGAATATTACTCTACATGAGACTATTCAATAGTGTACATGGTTAAGGACTATCATTGCACATATTAGAGGAGCTAGTGTTTTAAGTTAATCCAATACCTTACCTGCATATATGAAAATAATGCATCGTGTATCAAAGAAATGAAAAGAAGATATATATAGGGTGATAACACAAAGCATATTTTTCTTTAAGTTTATATATAATCATCAATAACAAATTTTTTTCTCGAGATTCAAGCGAATCAAGTATGATGTCAGGAGAATGTGACATATTTGCTTATCAAATCATTACCTAAAACCATATTTAGGAAACATGTAGAAAGTATCAAAGAATGCATTGACTTTCCAAACTCTCTTGATTAATGCACGAATTAGGGGAGTAGTGGACAAAAGGGGAATCTACTGTATATGTAATATTGGTATTATGTGCTTTTTCCTTCATCCAAGGTTTTATTTTTCCATTGGGTTTTGTTCCTTGGTGTAAGGTTTTAGTGAGACAAAACAGTTTATATACCATTCTTCTTTTCTAACTCTCATGATTAATGTATGAATCTGAAAGAATATTAGACTAAAGGAAAATTTTATGTATTACAAAGACACTGAACGTTGTACTCTTTCCTTTATTCTATTTTTATTTTTTCCTACTGTGTTTTTATTTTGGTGTAAGGTTTTACTTTTTTTCACACCCAGAGTCAAATCCTTAATTTTCTACATAGAATTGGACCAAATTCATAATTTACTCAAATATTATAAAATAAAATAAAAACAAGAGTAAGTTATAAATTTAGTCCCTTTGGTTTTATCGTGGTTATGAAAAAGACTCATAAACCCTAAAATTCAAGACTTAAACGTTCTTAAGGTTTAATTTTCCTTCATATTGTGTATATGTATGTTTATATTTTAAAAATATTAAATACTATATAAAGACAATTTCTTAACATAAAGTTAAAAGAATTAGTAAATAAGCCAAAATGGCTTATGACTTAACAAAGTTTTTTAACGAAAATAAAACCCTGAAGACCATAAAGCAAGAATTTCAGGGTTCAGGAACTTTTTGCCAATCAACGGGAAATCAAGGGAGTAAATTTGTAATTTGCTCTAAATATAAATTAGATAAGAGAGTTCAAAAAGGTCCCCTCACTCCGCTTCGCCGGTATCTCCATCTCTCGATCCGCCCTAGTCTCTTCATTCGGTAAATGGTAAGAATCTGTATCAGATTTTGTTTGTTGAGTTATACACTACAAAGAAACTTGCTAATTTCATTCTTTCGTGTGTTGTTTAGTTGTAATTGCACTCCAGGACTTGTTCCGATTGCATTTATCGCTATTTTGCTTTGTTTTGACTGTGCATTTATCGGAAAATTCACGAAAAGGTTGATTTTATGGATGATTTAGATCTGCAGTTTCGATTTCGTTGGAAATTGATGAAAATTATTGCATTATACGATTACATTACTAATGAAATTATGTTCTACATACTTACTGGATTGTGGATTTCATTTGTAATGAAAATAGCTTGTGTTTATGTTCTAAAATTGACTGATTCAATCATTTTTTATATATATATTTGTCGTCATTGTTTTGTGTTTGAGGTTATCGACTTAAGAACCGTATGTTATTGATTTAACTGTTATTTCCTTGTTAGGTTTTTTAGTTAATATTTTGTCGCCTTTTAATTAAGTTCAATGAGAATGAATAGGTTGATAACAGAGGTAGGGCTGTAAACGAACCGAACGTTCAGCGAACCGTTCGTGAACCGTTCGGCGGGAAGTTCGTTTATGTTCGTTTATTTAATAAATGAACGAACATGAACACATTTTTTTGTTCGTTTAGTTAAACGAACGAACATGAACAAGAGTCTCGTTCGTTCATTTATGTTCGTGAACGTTCGTTCATTTACCGTTCGTTTACGTTCGTTTATATTCGTTCGTTTATATATTAAATTTAATATATAACTTTTTATTTATTTACTTTGAATTCAAATAATATTTATTTATGTTCGTTTAATCTGTTCGTTTATGTTCGTTTAGCCCGTTCGTTTATGTTCGTTCGTTTACGTTCGTTTAGCATGTTAACGAACGAACATAAACGAACACGAACACACCTTATTTCTAAACGAACGAACACGAACACAAAGATTTTCGTTCGTTTACCGTTCGTGTTCGTTCGTTTGTTCGGTTAAGTTAAACAAACGAACATGAACAAGCCTCCTTTCGTGTTCGTTCGGTTCGTTTACAGCCCTAAACAGAGGCAGCTGAACAGAAAAAGCTAGACACTTCTTCGGTTGGACTATTTGTGTATTGTTTCTGGGAAAGATCTAGTTTTAAGGGAATAGAGCCAAAGATTTTGTTGAAATGGCAGAGAATGCAAAAATGGAAGAACATCTACAACTATCTGATGATGACGGTTCGGATGATCTGACAGAAGTTAGCCGTGATGCACATTCCGCTGCAAATGTGGTACGTGTTAGGAAGAGGAAAAGCGGAAACGATCATTTTCTTGAAGATTTCAGTAGTGCGGCTGCCTTACTTGGGGACAAACTTGTGCAAGCTTCAGCCATATTGGTACAACCTCAAGTGAATTTACAAAACAAAACTGCCAAGGTTTGTTCTGAACTTTCAAAAATTCATTCACTTTCTACAACAGAAAGGTTCAAAGTGTTACGAAAGATAGTACATGAGCCTGCAGCCATGTTAACATTTTGGAATTTGGAAGGTGTAGAGCGAGAGACTTGGGTGAGGTTTATGTTAGAAGAATGAGGTGGTTATGAATCTTATTAATTTTCAGCAATTAATGACCTATTATTTGTCTTTAAGCTCTGTAGTTATCATTCGGGTAATCTCAAAACGTACCTACGGTTCGCGACCCATTCGTTGTGGCTGGGAATGTATACGTGCCGAGAAAATGGTCGAATTATATGTGATTTTATGCTAAAATCTTTTTTATCCTGCTATTAATTTAGTGCAACCATAGGAAATGAAAATAGCTATTTGAGGAGAAAAATAAGGTTTCGACATATATAAAGGTTAAAATGGTTCAAGTCTAGCCGATCTAACAAATTCGATGGGTTCCACATATTTCACGACTAGGATGAGTCTTGGAGCATCCGGTGAGGTTACTCACCATCAAGGCCAGCCATGAGGTGTGCCGATGGTGCCATCGCATGAGGGCCTCCGTACTCTTACAAAAAAATTATGTACTCGCACTTCTTTCAAATCTATCCGTCTATTTGCCGTAGGATAAAAAAAAGGCATCCATCTGCCTTTTATACACTAACCCTTATCGTCTTTGCGTCATTGTGGGATAAGCAAATAAAACATCACATACACCTTTTATATACTAACCACGTCTTTCAAGCATATCAAATCCAAATTTTCTTCTACTATCTTTGCTGATATACCTTTACAAAATTCAGGTGATTCAAATTCAAAGCAAGATCGAAGCATAAGCAACCAATATAGAGGAAGCATAAACTTCCGGTTGAATCTGAAAGGGTAACCGAAGAGATGGATGTCGTACATGATAGAGAAAGTATAATTGCAGATGAAGAAGATATGATAAGCAACTTGCGAGATGAGATTATTCATCACATTCTATCTTTTCTTGACATGAAATTTGCCATTCAGACAATTACATGGTCTAAGAAATGGAAGCATATTTGGACTTCAATGCCATTCAGACAACTTTCTAATCTCACAATTACAGATCCTACCGGATTTCCTATGATTTTCAACGTGGCTGCTCCTCAACTGGAGAACTTGAGAGCATCAGTTGACGCGCCTATAACTACTGGGGCTTATTTTTTGGTTAACAAATATTGACTCCTCATCCACCACCAAGTCGCCTTCTGCGCCACTACTAACCACCGCTACAACACAACCAGAAACAAAGCATTAAACACAAATAACTCGAGTTCATAGCAAACTAAATCAGACTCACTAAATAGAAGGATCAAAGAAGAAGCCTCAAACACAAACAAATCGAGCTCATAAGATCGAATCATTGTACAAAATGCAGGTGTTGAAGTTGATGAAATTGTTTCAAGAGATCCAGACGTAGATCAAACCCACCATGACTAATGAACCCACAATAAAATCAACGTGTGTAAATGAACACACTAACAAGTAACAAATGCGAAAACAAATCAGATCCCAAATGTGTTCAATGTCCCAAGCAAATTATAATACACACCAATGAAACAAAAGAAATTTTATGTAATTTTTTTTATTATAATTTAATTTAAGTTTAATAATGAAATAATTTATTTTTGATTTAATAATATAATATTTTATAAGGATAATAATTAAGTATTCTGTTAGAACTCAATGATTATCCTAATTATATTTTGGTTTTTTATATTTAAAATGAGATGTTTATTCTATATTTGATTATGTTTATCTGCAGTTAGTTACACGAATTCAAATACGGAGCTTTAATAGGTTGTACTTACGCACAATCTACTTACAATCTTCAGTTTTAAGTAATATGCATTAATAAATAGTACTTTACGCATAAAAAGTGATTTTTAAGAGTTTTTGTCAAATTATAATATAGTATATATATAGGGGTCCATTCAACGGAGGACTGACTAGTTTGTGGTAATCGTGAGATCCAATCTCAACCACAAATCATTAGATAAATTAGGAAATTTATAATTTTGGTAATTTTGAATTAAAATTTTAATGTAAGGACATTTTAGGTGCGATAGATTCAGAAATAAACTATCTAGAATACACGCCAACTTGAATGATATGGAATCGACTCGAAAGAGTGATTTTTAACAAAGAGATTTCTTTATCCATATATTTTGAAGACACCATCTTGTCACTTTCCCTGATTCGGATACCACATAGAAATATGGGTTGAAAGTTATAATATTGTGCAATGGTGAAGTCCGAAAGGAATACCTTCAAAATAGATGGTGAAACTAAGTTTTGAAACACTGCTTGCTGTAGCATTCCTACAGCATTGGCTACTGGAATTTGCGTTTGGGTCTCACCACAAGTCTTACACCCTTGCTATCCTTATATATTCTGTTGTCTGTATTAAATCACCTTAATATCAAACTGAAGTCTTCAAATTCATCATCTGAAATCATTTCTTTCATTGGACTCTTAGTAAACTTTCGCTACAATCTCCGTGAACGATAATCCGGTATTTTACCACTTTATTACTTGGAAAGACGATATTGGGCTGTATTGTATACTTGTTTTGTGGTCAATTTCTTTAGTCTAAAGGTGTGCAATATAATGAACAAAGTTTTTGACGCCGCTGCCGAGGATTGACAAGCTAAAAGTTTATTTTGAGTAAAGTAAATAATTTGATTTTTCTAGTACCATTTGAATCGTTTTAAAAGTGGTGTATGCCACGGACGCATCACGGGGAATTTTTCGAATTTGATCCCAACATTGCGAGAACGTTTCACCATAGGAGGAGGGCTCAAAGAGCATTTTTTGCTCTACTCCCTCCGAACATGGCGTTGCCTCACCCAATCATTCCGGAAATACCACATTTGGAAAACCAGCCGCCAGTTTTTGCACCAATACCACCATTTCCGAACTTTCCACAAAGACACCCACATAATGATAATAATTTGGTAATGAGGACACATAATCGGAGCATAATGATCAATAAAGAGCACAAACTCTGAACATCATTAATCTGACAAATTCCAAAAATGGAAGGATCATGGATTATGCTATTCCGGATTTTGAGCAATTAAATTCCGGGATAGTTAGACCACATATGACTGCTCTCCATTTCAATCTAAAACCGATAATGTTTCACATGTTGCAAACGAATGGCCAATTTTCCGGATTACCCTAAGAGGACCCACATTCGCACTTAAAGTCTTTTATGGAAATCACTGATGCTTTCCTGATCCTGGGAGTGTCCAATGACGCTCTCAGACTCACTTTATTTCCATTTTCATTAAGGGATCGAGCGAAAGCATGGTTTAACTCTTTATCACCGGGTTCTGTGCCGTCTTGGAGTAATATGGCGGAATTTTTTTTGCGAAAATATTTCCCACCAACAAGGATCGTTAAGTCCAGGAATGAGATCTATCTTTTCAAACAACTGGACGATGAGGCTGTTCCTCAAGTGTGGGAAAGGTTCAAAGAGCTGTTGAGAAAATGCCCACACCATGGCATTCCATATTGTATTCAACTCGAGACATTTTACAATGGGTTAAGTCCCATGGCAAAACAAATGCTCGATGTGACTGCAGGCAGAGCCTTCACAGCCAGTACCTATAATATGAAATCCTGGAAAAGATATCGGCAAATAATGGGCATTGGACCGACCCACGTGCTCAATCACAGAAGAAGACTGCTGGGATACATGATGTAGATGCATATACTGTATTGACAGCTCAGCTCACCTCCATGACCAACATGTTGAAAAATCTAACTTCTGGTCAGGGAGTGCAGCAAGCTGCTAATACACATATTCCAACAGTCATCTCTGTGAAATGTGTGTGTTGTGGTTGGGAATACTCGTATGAACATTGTCCTCATCATTCTGAATTCATAAACTTTGTTCATAATGGATCTGGTCCCTATACCAACAATTACAATGAAAGTTGAAAACACCCGAATTTTTCTTGGAACAGTCCATGTTTAAATCCACCCGCACCTAAGCAGCAAGGAACCTCTAATTTTCAACCCCAACAACATGCGAGTAGTTCCTAAAATCATCACCAATATTTTCAAAATGCTCAACCACCTTTTCAAAACAAGCCGCCTTCACATGCTGATTTATCATCTTCTTTGGAAGCAATGATAAAAGGGTTATTTGTGCATGCTCAAGCTCAAAATCAAGCTTTGATAACCCAACAAAACTCTCAAAATCAATCCCTTTTTAATTAGCAAAGTGCTGCTATCAGAAATCTGGAAACCAAAGTCAGTCAATTTGCACTCAATTAGGCCAATAGAGTCATTGGTACTTTGCCTAGTAACACGGAAGTTCCGTGAGCCTTAGAAAAGGAACATGTGAAAGCAGTGACCCTTAGGAGTGGGAAAGAGTTGACTGAAAAGGTGCAAAAAGCTAGTGCACCAAGTTTGTCAAAAACTGATGCTACAGCATTAGTCCCTGCCAAAGAAAGACCGGTCCAACCTTTAGAGAAGCAAGCAACTGAGACCACCACTTCTATTCCCCCAAGATCAGAATATCCCTTAATGTTTCCAGCGGATGTTTTAAAAAAATCAGAAGGGACTGAGGTTTTAGAGACCCCTAAGCTTGATACTAAGACTCCATCTAAACCCTCAAAGTGTACCACAAAGACTCAAGGCATTCAAGACCCATCTTGCTCAACACATTCAAACAAGAATGTGATAAAAACTAGTTCCTCCTTATGTTCCTTACCCCAAAGGTTGAGGCATCAGAAAGAAGAATTGCATTTAAAAAAATTCTTGGATGTGTTCAAAGAATTGCACATCAACATACCACTTGTTGAGGCAATTGAGCAAATGCCCAGTTATGCCAAGTTTCTCAAAGACCCAGTTATATCAGGGATCAATGTTCTTACCGTTAAACATGTTAGTAGGCCTGCGTAAAATGACAGAAGACCCAACACAGCTTGCTCGTCGCTATGCAATCATATATAAAGTTGCACCAGTCAATCCTTGGAATCATGTCTAAGCTATGAACACGAGTCAGGAAACCTAAATTGCAAACACCCACCCTACTACATTCAGCAAGCGTGTTAACCACGATGACCAGGATACTCATCTTAAACATCACACCGACATCATCTTATTTGTGAACAACGTTCATCACGTCCTTGGGTCTCATCCTATCTTTACTTAACTGTTTTCGCCATGTTGAATTGACTGTATCGTTGCATGAGGATGGTTCAATCAAATTCAAATCTAATCCTACGGTTGGCAGTCCCAGTACCTCGTGTATTGACTTGATCATAACTGGTATTACTCCATCCCTCAGTTTTATGGTCATAGTAGATGTATCTAACATATCGACGACATAATGACCTAATTTCGACGGAATGTCATATAAAGTCATATCAAGTAATGCCTCAAACCCCATCTCCTTAATGGCTGACCTTTGGTTAAGGGTTAATGATTTTACTGTCTCCCACAACGTTTTGGGAGATGTTATGGTTCTAATTCCTATTGGGTACCCTTTCACATTCTTCTATTCTAATGCAGCTTCCTTTCCATGTTCAATCCTCAATTTTTGAGCAGCACGCATGATTTTATTTGGTGCCTTGACTTCAATTTGGACATTATCGTTGAAATCAATGTCCTGCTGCACTTCTGCATTCATGAACGAATTTCGTTAAAAATTAACTACTCAATATCATGGACCATTGAATTTTCATTGTGTGAGTTTCTTAGAGGTAATATATGTTAAAACGTTCCAAATAATCGAAAAATATTTTTAAAGACATGGACAGATTGTGTTCAGTGTAGATATTTAGTGAACAAAACAGTTGAAGGGCGTAATCAGGTTACACATGAACACAAGATGAACAGGTTGGAACATGTGGGGCGCGTTCTTCGCTTGCCAATGAACAGCTACGAACATGTCGAAGTTGATGCATATTAAGGGGCTGGAATATAGGTATTGAGGTGAATGACGCAAAGACCTATGTTCTACCAAACAACAACAAACTTT